AAAATGAGCCAATATTTGGCATGACATTTCAAAATGTCTCACTTTCAACATTTGATATGTTATCTATATTCTATTGTGAATAAAATATAAGTTTATGAGATTTGTAAATTATTCCATTCCTTTTTTACTCACAATTTGTACAGTGTCCCAACTTTTTTGGAACTGGGTTTGTACTTAGCCTTGAATAGCGCTCTGGAGCGGTATTCGAGATAGTGTGGATTTAGTATCCATTAAGGGCACTGCACTTTGGCATTTTGAAGACCTGGGACAGACTTGCACACTTACTTCCTGTCGCGCGCACGCGCTCTCAAGTGGCCAAGACCACAAGTGTGGGTATTTGGACAAGGGGATGGCTTGATCACCCTAGTGTACTAAAAATTGTAATTGTATTTGTATGAATGGGAATACAGACTTTCAGAGATTTTACTCAATGATTTTCACAGCCTTCTTTGATCATATTTAATAAGGGTGCCAATAATTCTGACCATGACTCTCTCTCTCTCTCTCTCTCTCTCTCTCTCTATATATATATATATATATAACAGCTTCTTTATATATAACATAAATAATAATAATAAAAATGTTGCAAAACTGACAACAACTGATGAACAACTGAACAATTTATACAAGAATTCATTACAAAACAGATTTCCAGGCATTCCTTTTCTTTTATTCCACAGCTGAGGTTATTTTGCTTGCTTTAAAATAGATTTCCTCCTGTTCAGCAAAGCTTTATTTTTTTCTACTGACATTGTTTTCCTTGGATTTGCTTCTCAGTCCCATACAACTTTAAGCTTTTCTTGGTTCATTCCATGTTTTATAGGCAACCTCTGCCATGCTAATTCAAATTAGCACAGCTGGTTTTAAATTAATCTAATTCATTTTAGTTTAGGACTCCATAGTCCAGGGGCCCGTTCTTTGTACGTCGCTTATTACATCCAAGATCAAATGTCACATCCAAAATTATAGCATCGCGTTAATCAGGATCTGGCTAATTCGGTTCTTCAAACACACCTGTTGTTGATGATTAGTATGGCTGGATTGAGTTATCTAGGAAAACAAAACTACATAAATGTTATAATAGAAAAATGAAATGTGCACTGTTTTTATTTTACTTAAATTTTTTTTTCATGATTCCCAATTATTTATATTCACGATTTCTAATATTTGTACAGGCTTTACATTTTTATTTCAATGTAGTAATTAGCAATTCATTTAATTTTATATTTGAACAGATTTGTTATGTGACAGCATTAATTAAAGTTTCTTAAGGGTGAAGATCATGTTATCTGCATCTTCTGCGCTCCATCAAGCCACTCCCATAATATCTGTCAGCATTCAAATTAATGCACGACTCTACATTATCTGTATAGCATGTGTGTAAGACTCGAATACAATTATGAAGTGATTCTTTTATGACGAATAAATCTCTCAGTGAGTAAAACCGGCTGCATCTATAGTATTAAAGGCTACACAATATTATTATATTATCTTTAAATAAATGTTTAAATGATTATTATTTTAAATTATTTTCCCTGGATTAGTAGGGTACTCTTGTAATAA